CAGTCGCGGCCCGCCTCCTTCTTGCTCTCCAGCAGGTCCTCGAGCTTGATGGACATGTACCCGACCACCGGGTCCTTGAGGAAGTCACGGTCGTCGATGACCTTGATCGTTATGACGGACGACGCCTTGTCGGCGCACAAGAACTCGTGCGCCTGCTCCCAGACCGGGGCGTTCGTGTGCTTGAAGAGCCGCGTGCTGAAGACCGCGTTCTTGGTGTCGCCGAGGTAGAGCCGGGCTAGCGGGTTGAGGTCCCCGGACAGGGACTTGCTTTGGTCGAGCTCCTTCGCTTGATGAATGGTCAGACGCACGATGCCGACGCCTGTTGGAAAAGAATAAACGCGGGCACCGCTCTGTGAGGATGGATGCTTACTTGTGTTCAGTTCCTCCTTGCCCTCCTCAGGCTTGATGACAGGGTAGTAGGACACGTCATATCGCAAGATACCCCGTTCTTTGCCGTCTTTGAGCAGAGCGGTCTCGATGCCTTCACGCGTGGCGTCCTCCTGCAGCTGGGCAAGCTCGAAGCTCGTGCTACTAAGCAGCGCGTTTTTGCGGTGGTCGTTGTAGTCGTACAAACTGAAAATCAGTGATTCGTTGAGCGAGTTGACGAGAATGAATTTTGTCTCCATCCAAGTTGGGTTGTACCTGCCAAGGTATCAGGGGATGGAACTTAGAGCTACGGCCAGAACGTACGTGTTGTTTTTGTACTTGGTCATTGCGAGCTCCTCGCGGTTGTTCAAGCTCAACGAGATATACGGGTCGGGGGTTCCGCCGCCGATTTTGGTGCCTTTGACACCCCGTGCAGACTCGATTGTCACTTGAAGGACACCGATGGCCGTGTCAAGAGGGGCACCGGAAAGCAGCTGCTCGAGATTCAGGGTGAATACATTAGGGTCATACATGACGGGCGCCAGGGTAGCGTGCGTCATGTCCCGAATGAAGGATGACAGTCCGGGGATCTGAGGATGGATTAGCCGACAGCGGGCGGACAAGAAGGAAACGGACATTGCCAATGTCGAACCCGAACGTCTCGCCGCCCACAGGTTTGAGGACGTAATCAATTACGGGTTTTTCCAAGAAACAAATGTCGACGACTTGGACGTGAGGGAAGTTGGACATGAGCTTCAGGCGGATCCGCATGAGGCCGCTGAAGGTGATGTCTTCGAGCAGAATAGGCATGGCCGCAGTCGCGAGACCCTTGCCCACGCGCACAGACAACACAATCTTTGGGTTGACCTTGTTTGCCACTTGGCGCGTCGTGAGATCAGAGATATCGTTCGGAGTGAATGAGATGCCCCAGTCCATCATGACGACGTCGTCGGCCGTTTTGGGGAACGTGCGGACTTTGTCGATGCGGGGCGCTTTGGTGCCAAGAGTAAACTGAGTCAAGCGAAGAGAATCAAGGAAGGCCGGGGTGTTGGTACTGAGAATTTGATCTACAGAAGAAATGATGGTGGCAGAAAGGACCGGCTCGTAGATAAGCCAGAAACGATCCAAAAAGTTGTTTATCCAGTCGGCGGACTCATGTTCGGATACAAGGCGGTTTTTGACGAGGTCACGCTGGATATCGTCGCGTGCGCGGCGGCGGACGCGTTCCATGGACGTGCTGTAGTAGGTGTTGCAAAATGCGAGGACGATAAAGAGCCATCCCCAGCCGAAATGGAAGCGGGTCAAGAAATGCGAAGCGAACACAGCCTACGTGCTGTGAGTCTAGACCGACGGAGGAGCGGAGCGGACCTACAAAGACGATGAGGGCTGCGTTGTGATACCAACTGCCGTAGAATTGCTCTGAAAGGAACATGTCGAGGACACCCTTGTCCAGTTCCTCGCCCTCGGCGAGGGGCGCGGCATCAATGCCTGATGCCTGGCGCCATCCGACGAGATACCAGTCGGGAATCGCGCTGGCAGCGGGCCCCAGGGCACCCGGCGGCTGAGGAGTGTCGTCGTCGTCGTCGTCTGCAGCAGGATCTCGAGTCTTTTTGGCGTCGATGTCCTCCACAGTGATTGTAGGGACTACGTTTGACTTGCCAGTCTCGATGGTGAGCTCTGCAAAGACGTGAGTTTACGTTGAGACGGCTCGCACGAGGAGACGTCTACCTCGTGCACCAGGGCCCGAGTCGTTATTTACACTCTTGAGCTGGTCTCTGGCCTTGCCTGCTGCGGCGCCCTTTTCCGAGGGCGGTGCCTCTGGGTCAAAGGAGTGAACCGCAACGCGCCCATTTGCGGAATCCTGCATGATATCATTTGCCTGTTTCTGGGGGAAGGCGCCGGGGGGTGAGCCATTCGTGGCCATGGCGGGGAAAGGAGAGAGAGTGCAGTGGATGTAATGAGGCAAAGAGGCTATATATAAACTCCACGCTTGTGACGTAGTTTTTGTTGTTCCTCGATACCTCCCCGTAGCCACAATCCCGTTTGCACCAATTCACCTGTCCATCGCCGCCTCGCTATTCTGCTGAATCGAGTTATTTCCTGAGCTCCTACAACTCGAGAAAACGCGTCCGAGACACTCCACCGGCAATTCCCGGGCCGCGTCATTCCATGCAGAAATACACGTTTGATTCTCGCATCTGGGCCGCTCTAGACTCGATGACAGAATAAAGGTTAACGGGTTCAAAAGTGAAGTTGAAGCTAGTGAAGCCCTACTGTACAACTCGAGAAAGGGCGTCCACAGTGGACCGGCAATTTCCGTGCAGCGTCATAAGAAATACACGTTGATTCCAGCGTCTAGCCGCTCTAGACTCTATGACAGAATCAAAGGTTAAAGCTTAAGGCCTTAAGGAAAGTCAAGTGAAAGTCAAGTTGACGCTCAATTGACGCTAGTAAATTAAATGCAGCTGTGTTTGTCGATGTTTGGCTGTACGCGATTTCCATTTATGCCACCATGACCTCGTCGTCCAGCTCTCTCCGGGGCCTCTACAGCGACCCCTCCTCCGCCTGGTCCTTTGTCCAGTCTCTCCCCGCCGCCGCCGCAAATTCCACCCCCACCGCCACCGCACCCGCATACCAGTGGTCCTCCCGCCCATCCCACAACTCTATATTTGACCTCTCACCCGAGCTCGCCGATCCGTCGGATGGAATTGACCCCATAAATCTCCTCAAGACCTTGGCCGCATCCGCAATCCTGCAGTACACGAGCAGTGCTATTGCGATGCCGTGGGAGGTAGGCAAACTGCTCCTGCAGGTCCAATGGGTCCCGCGAGATGCGGGTGAGCCGGACCCCTCGGAAATCCCCGACGACGACGACGACGCTGTCTGTGCCTTTCATCACACCTTGTATTCTGTCCCTGCTCACCCCTTCACAGTTGAGCGAGTCGTCCAACGACAACGACTCGTACTTTGCTGATCCGAATGCAACCCCGCACGTCGGCTTCTCGGCCTTGCGGCAGACGGATGAGCAAGGCTACGTTGTCCGTCGCTCTGTTCTCGAGGAAGGCACCCGCCCAGAATATATCATCCCGGTGGGCAGCGCCAATGGCGTGTGGGGCATGATGAGACGGGTAGGGCGTTTCCGGGGCGAGGGATGGTTGGCTCTGTGGAAAGGTATTTGCAAATCTCCTTGTTGTCGATCTTCCACCCACCACTATATCCAGGGCTATTAACATCATGCATAACCGAGGTCCTCTCGTCGACCTTCCAGCCCATGGTTCGCGGTCTCCTTCAAGCCCTCTTTCTTCCGGCCACCGCCATATTTAGCCACCCGCCCATGTTCCTCCCCGTGCTCTCCCATCTCATTATGGGCTTCATTCTCTCCCCACTAGATCTTGTGCGGACCCGCCTGATCGTCCAATCCTTCTCGTCCCGCCACCTGACCTACACCGGCCCCTTCGATGCCCTCTCCCGTATCCTCCGCGAGGAAGGCGGCTTGAAAGGCATCTACCTCCACCCCCACCTCCTCATCCCCACCCTCATCGACAGCGCCCTCCCACCAATCGTATCATTCGTCCTCCCCGGCCTGCTCGCGTCGTACATCGGCGCCCAGATAACCGAAGACGCCAACCCCATCGCGTGGGGCTTCGCCGAGCTCGCGGGCAGCTGCCTCGGCCTCATAATAACCCTCCCCTTCGAGACCGTGCGCCGGCGGCTCCAAGTCCAGGTGCGCGGGACGGCCAAGCCGATCAAGGGCTGCGTCGAGCTGCGGCCGGCGCCGTACAACGGCGTCGTGGACACGTTCTGGCACATCCTGACAGAGGAGCGGTCGGACCTGCCGATTTCGTCGCAGAAGCGGAAGCGGCGGACGAGCAAGGGGAAGGAGCGGGCGGGCGCTGGCACCGAGGAGAAGCCGGCGAAGGACAGCGAGGAGCAGAGCTGGATGCGGGGGACCGGGATTGGACAGTTGTACCGGGGCCTCGGGATGCGGCTCGGGGCGAGCATTATTATGTTCGGCCTCGCGCTGTTTAGCGGAGGAGACGAGGCGGATGGAGGGTGGGCAGAGTTGTAGTATCACCTTTGACGCCAATAATGGAATGAAAGCCTTCTCATCTACTTGGAATAAATTCATAACCAGCTGGGTCCCTCCAGCGCTCCAGCAGAGGCTTTTCTGAGATTCCCTTCGCCCAGAAGCTGAGAATTCGAAGCTTGACAGCTTGTATGGCTGTGCTCGCCTATCAGAGGCATACTCTATCCCTTCCCATGGCCAGAGGGCTCGCCTCCAATTCCGCATGAAAGTTGCGATCCTGTGAAAGTGACGATGACCCGACTAGTCTCCCAAACAGAATGCAGCGCGCTTCAACCGCTGTACCTCGTTTGATCTGACCCGACTTCGCGGCGCACCATGGACTGCGTGTGGACCGCCAACTTGCAGCGATTCTCTCGAACGGTCCGCCTTAACTAAAGCCTAACAGCTTACGATCTGTTGGTTCCGCCGAAACTCGCAGCACCGACTTCGCGTTCCTCCGAGTCTTTACTGAGAGTGTAATATGCTCCCGCTGACTCTGAAACGGAAATCTTGACCTTCGGGGAAACAAGGGGAAGAACAATACTTCCTGTTCCAAACCCTCCCCAGCGGTTGTGTAGTGTAGTGGTTATCACTCGAGATTTTGAGAAGATATGTCTTCGGATGAATTCTCGTAACCCCGGTTCGAACCCGGGCACGACCTTCGTGAAGCCTCGCCTTCTATTTTTCATTTTCATCCTCTTTATCGACGTTTGGAACAATCGCCTGGCTGGACCAAGCACAGAATTCTGGCCAGAGAAAGATCGGATTTTAAACTTTCCAACCACCACTAGACTACGCGCCAAAAATACTTTTTGAGCGATTCTTCAGGATTCTTTCTGCCGTCGTTGTATTCTCCCTTGAACAGTCGCAAATCGCAGGGCTGTCCGATCCGGGCATGTGTTTGCTACTCCCGCTATAGACTCAAGTGGTTTTCCTGAGGCGGTCCCATCCATGGTTGTCGTTCCATCTATCACAACGCAGCATCATGTTTATTGGTAAGTAGTCGTCTATGGTATACGGCAGCAGGAGAACCTGTTCTGCCAGCCAGTCGTTATAAACAATGCGGGTACTCCAACGTGCTCCTTCCCGTTTACGGAAGTGTTGACTCTGGCAGACGCCTTTCTGTTTACGAAGCGATGCGAAATGGGTGGCCGTATCCGTAACCGGCTCAACTCTGCGCGGCCGATATTGCACTGGAACGGTGCCTGACGCAGGGGTTCGGACTGCTTGGGACAGTGGTGAGTAAGTGACGAAAGACATGAACAGAGTATTTACGGATGATTTTTTTTGATGGTTTTTTTTTGATAACCACTAGACTACAGTGACAGAACCGCTGTAAAGGGAGGGGAAGGGAAGCTATTGAGGTGGGGGGGAAGCATATGTCAGCGCCAAGTTCAGAGCGCTATGTTAGCTCGTTGGACTTGCAGTTGCGCCGTCGTCGGTTTTTCTTCATTTTACTTCCCTTTCAACGGATAGTAGCCCTGCGATGAATTCCACAACGAACGTCGAGTAGCACCGCAGAAGTATGGGTTGGCCTTCAAGCAATGAGTACCTCGAGAAGCATTTCAGTCTCTTCTGTACTTGGTAATGGTGTGGCCACTCTTCGCCATCTGTGTTCCGACTTACCTCAATTTACATCCCTCCATCCTCCTGACCGCCATTGGCTGAAACGGAGGCCTACGCTGCACATCTGTGAAATAACTGTGATACATTGGATTGATCCCAATGATCTTTTTTTTTGTGGTGTGGGTCTCCTAGGAAGTGAATTGCGTCGAAAGAAGGCTGGAAATTGCTTCCGGTCCATAATTCCCATTTTGGGTTGCGATGCACGTGCAGGCGTAGTGGAACAAGAGACCAATCTAATGCTGTTTGCGGCACGTTTGAGCCGCTGAAAATTTGGACAGAAATTCGAGAGAATTAGCACTATCATTTTGACACGTTTAACTGCGCCAAACTTGCAGCTATTCTCATAATATGGACCCCCAACTGGGTCCACCAACACCTGGCAGCCCTCGCTCCATGAAGAATTCGGCCATTACGTTTGGTGTTATATACAGAGCAATTATCATAGAGCAGAGCTAATCCAGTCGTGGTAGTTGCCTGGCAATCCCTGCCAATATAGCTCCCCAGCTCCAACAGTATTTCTTGGAATAGTACAGATTCAGATGCCATAGCTTGCAAATCCTGCGATTCCTAGACGATCCCTGTCGGATACTCGGGTTGCCCACAACGCCACTGGAACTGTCGTGTGACGAAGGAAGCTTAATGCAGACAGGCATCTTGAACGCAGACCATCATGAAGCCGTGAGGACTGCACCACAAGTAGCTCCTCCAACAATCATGTCCTCCAGAGGATTGTGTCGAGCGTAGAGTGGGGTTTTTTCCCCAGTTTTCGTGTGGTTTTCTGGAAACAAGATTGCGGCACGTGCCGTGTCCAAATGGGGGAGCGAATCGTTTGGGGTTGCGCGATTCTCTCCACTTTCCGCATCCTCGATGGCTGGTGTGTTCTCGTCCAGGACGCGCCGTTCCTTTACTGACTTGCGACCAGAAAAACCTATATCAATCGTGCCGCTGCTTTCTAGAGCCCTTCACAGAATACGCACGACACCCCCTCGTATAATTGCGTCGCCTCCGACTCGTGCGTTTACTTTAGCTTCTCCGCTGGATTCCACCGTTACAACCCTTTTTTTCAGAGCCACGTAGAGCCGCCGTGGCCCTTATCATCCGAGTGGTCCCGTCCCCGACCGCAGTTTTACCCCTACCGTCTGCAAACCCGGTCACGCTCTCCGAATTCTTCGAGCTTGACTGGGTCAATGACCCAGCGGCACGCCCCGAGATTCTCTTCTTACAGCGAGAAAATCCGGCTCCAGAAGATTCGGCAATGACGAGACTTCGCAATACGCACGAGGCGCATGTCGCGTTTCCCGGGGGCAGGACCGAGGCGGACGACGAGGGCGGCCTCTATACTGGTACGTCATTGTTCCTCCTTCCCAGCCGCTTTTTTTAAGACATCACACGCAAGCCATGCGGCAGACGTGGGAAGAGATAGGCATTGACCTCGCCGAGCGAGATTATACGTGCATTGGACAATTGGATGACAGAGAGATAACGACATCGTTGGGGAAACGTCTTCTCATGATTCTCTCGCCTTTTGTTTTCCTTCAACTGACGCCCCAAGCGCCACCCCCTGACCCCACGGCATCGACGACTCTGCACTGGACATCCCTCGCGTCGCTTGTCTCCGCACACGCCCCTCCTAGATGGTCTACCGTCACTGTTGACGCCGCCTCCCGTCTCGCCCCGAAACATTCCACTGCATTACGCCTCCTCGTCCAAGTACTGGTAGGCAGCATGGAATTCCCCGCCATCATTGTGCAACCTTCGGCACTCCCGCCGGTAACCCCCGAAGGCAAACCAAATATCACCCACGATATCCTTGAAAAAGGTTTCATTTCGTCGTCGAGCCGACCTCAGAAACTGAAACTCTGGGGTCTGTCCCTGGGTATGACACTCGACCTAATGTCCTACATGGTACTACCGGCGCCCTCGTCGACGCGCGACAACTCCGAGGCCCATAAGGCCCATTCCGAGTCGTCGTCCCCCCTGTCACCTATGATGCAACTTCCGTATCAGACTGGCGCAGATGGGATGCGCATGGACGTCGTTGCACCTAGCTTAGCTAGCGTGTTTCCGAGATTCTCCTACCCCGACGTCAATTTCTGGATATGGTGCGTTTATAAAGAACCAGCCCAAACCGTCGCTTACTCTGCTGCAGGGTGTTTGGTAAGCGGTATAGAGAGGTTGTGCGTGGATGGGAGGCCAGTGTCAGAGGTGGGGGCACAAATGATCGGCGGTGCGTTTTTGCTTGTCGCCTGTTTCGCTTATTCTAACGGCCGATCAGGATAAATTGGTCGGGCTCCGCGCTGAGCACATTCTATGCCGCGATTCGTAAGGCTCTTGTGGTGGTTATCGTTGCCCGTGCACTAGGCGTGCTCTTTGGAGTGGCGTTCGCCACCTGGTGGATATTTGGACAGTAGGGCTCGGAACCCTGTGAGACGATAGAATTTTATACACGTTTTAATCGTGGATTGGGTCTAGTGTACATGGGTTTCTTTGTAACTTTTATATGAACGATATAACGGAGTTGATACCACACAGTCTTATTAGTAACTACTACAGTGGCAAGCCGCAAACCTCACAGTCCGTGCCGCCGTGCACATTCTCGAATGTGCAATGGGGACAAATCCTGATACCAGCGCTGGATCCTCCGCCGTCTCCTGCAGTTCCCCGTGCTGCCGCTTCCTCAGCTGCGATTTGATCGAAAACTTCCTGCGGGATGTCTTCATCCCTGGACGAGGACACCGTGCGAGTTGCTGACCAGCATTAGACGAAATAGTTATGGCAAAGGGGGAAAAACGTACATGAACTCTCTCGCGTAAATGTCATGAGGGTGTTCCAGCCTTCCGTCGCCAGAAGCGGATCCAATTGACTGAGATCTTGGAGCAGAGTAGGCGACGTAACAATACGCATCATCAACTTTACATCCTCCTGCAAGGAGTGTGAGTTAAATATATAGAAGCGCGACAATGGGTTACGCACGGGGGAAAACAGTTGGGTTGTGTCCAGGAAAGCGACGAGATGCCAATCGCTAAGCCATGCCGCCAGCGCTGCCCGCTTGTGGGCCTCCCCGGGTTTGGCAATCCGACTGTCCACAATATTGGGTGCATCCAGGGTGGAGAGGGTGCTGATGACGTTTTCCACGCGTTGGTCCTCCAAACCGGGTCGATTCTCGATGGAAAACTTGGACGACTGAAACAAAGGCGACGGGTTTTGCGGGAAGCCGTGGGTTACCTACAGAGGAAGCATTAGTGTCTGTTCATTTGTGCTGGAAGGACTTGGGATAAACTGACGTTGACCATAAGATATTCAACGGGGAATGCAGGTTTTGCGGTCTTCTTTACCTCGAGCCCGTACTCGTTCTTGAACGTGAAAAATACGTCAGGCACATATCTCGCCGAGCCCTGAGTTCTGTCCTCCTCCTTGACTCGAACAATTCCAGGGTCAACACTCGCTTCTATCATGTCTGCTTCGACCATGGCGCAGGCCTGCTCCGAAACCTGGTACGCAGCAATATCTACCTGCCCGTCCTCGGTGGCGGTCAGGATAGCGGTGACCAGCCGTGAAGCAAACTGGCCGGTTGGCGAGGACTTTGAAGGCGTTGGGTTTAATTTTTGCATTGTAGCAGCAAAGATGGCCTCCAGTGAGGACATGTAGAAGGACCCAGGATGGCGCTTGTAAACATTTTTCGTTCGATCCTCGTCCGTTGGGGTCAAATCAGTGAAGATGTACCCAACGACAGTCAACGGGGTCGAGGCCGAGGCAGAGAGTTCTCTGATACGCGGTTCCTCCTCCCAAGGTAAACCCAAGGTAAGGCCATCGAGTTCACCCTCCTGTGGAGGCTCGTATATGGCTTCTACCACGGCCTTCACGCCCATTGGTACCTTTTCGTACGGTTGATAGCGCCCAATCAACCAACCAAATCGTTGGAAACCAGTTGACCTCCATGCGTGCAGAAAACGGTCGATCACGTCTGTCGAGGCAATCTCGAGATGGTCGACCATTCGGAAAGGCTGCGACTGCAAGGTGATCGCAGAGGGCTGA